TGTTAGCACAGAGTGGTTGCTTTGAAGATCAGATGCACTTCTCATGGACACAGGGCCCTCTGTGCTGCACAGGGGCTTTTGAGTTTCTTGGGATTTTTATAATTGCAAAATTAGGCTTCACAAGTAGGCATCAGTAAATTCAGAACTGCATGAACTCTTCTTGGTCTTCTGCTGAGACACAAATGCACTCCCAGTCCCAGGCACAGACATCTTTCCACCAGAAAGGAGAGTGGTCTTCAGAGCAAACACCTACAGATCAAAGTAATTCAGATACGTGGTTTGGGACCACATTCTTTAATTGCTGTAGTTGTACCATTAGAATTAATGCTCAAATTCATGTTTGACCTTGCAGTCAGCTACTCTGCCTTCTTGCACCTCTCCATGTCAGCTCCCTGTCCCCGCCCCAGCAGCCTCCATGGTCTCCTCTTCCCTCTCTGCTTTAGTGTCCATTCCACTTTAGAACCTGTTTGATTGTACCTCTTTCCTTGTGCATTTCTACCTATTCCAGAAACAGCATCTTGGCTGGATGGAGTCCTTTCAACCCAAATGGAATTGAATTCAATAGTGTGAATTCAAGTTTTTTGTGGAAAAGATAGCTAATTGGTGTATTTTGTGAATTGTATTTTAAATTCCAGGTCACATAAACAATTTAAGATGAACTTACTGTGCACCAGGGGAATACTTAATAAGAGCACTTTGTTATTTGAAATATAAGACAAATTTTGCAGTGCCACTTGGTTTCTAAAACTTAAAAAGAAAGTTCTCTTGACTGACAGTGTTGCTTTAATTCAGGACAGGGTGGAAGCTGTTGTAGATTGCTTTCATTGATTGTGATCACTGCTTGAATTGGCAGAGCAGGAAGTGTTATGATGATGAGAACTTGTCTTATTGTTGTGATAAGCTGTTACCAAAGTCTAATTACTGGGTGTGATGCTAAAATGTGTAAGCTGCCGACACTTAAAGATAAGGAGATGAAAAGAAAGCAACTCATTCCAAACAGCTCTTCTGTTTGGGTTTTATTATTGTTATTTTTGTGTACTCTCCTGAGTGGTGCTTTAGAGTGCATGGATTAAGTCATGGATTTGGCTGCAGATGCTGCCATGAAACTTCAGCTGTGGTTAAGTAAGTTTTAAGCACCAAGGGACTGAATAAAATAATGGTTAGTGAAAAGTGATGACAAGGGATTCAGTTAATGGTATGTGCATCTGTGCAGTGAATGGGCTGTTATTAGCTATTAATTCAGGTGCTGTAGGCAGGATCCAAATGTGATTGAGAAGAGGGTGAGGGGTAGAGGCCCAATTCCCATAGGAATTGGTCATGGGAAAGTGCCATTCCTACCACGCTGGCTGCTTCAGAGCTGGCATTTCCACAGAAAAGTAGAGAGTTTCCTGCAGTCTTGTTCTGGAAATTGTCTGGGGGACTGAGATGTCCTGTTGGGGTCAGAATCCTCAGAAGTTTTGCAGAGCTTCACCTGAGCTCAGCACCCCAGGGAGTCCTGCCCTAACTGCTGTGCTGACTTGAGAAAACGTTTTGGGATCCTCTGGGATGGCAGATGCTTGTGTATGCACATGTAACATGCTGTTAATAATTAGAGCTGATTGGATATTCAGTACAAATTACACTGGCTATGAAGTTAGCCCCTTCCTTAGGCTTACAAGTGGCTCACAAAACACTGTTAAAGCCTATTTTTAAAATGTATGTTTTTTCATAAACATGGATAGATTTAATTTGAACGAATAATGTCAAGTCTGAGTGTTGTAAAACTCTTGCTGGGCTGTTCACTGTCGGTTGTTAATGGAACATATTTGGATTTATGAGTCACAGTGTAAATATTTTCTATTTCCAATTTTGAGGATGAAACATGAGGTTTGATGATTATTTTTACCAGTCCCCCCTAATAGTGTGTCTGCTCCCACACCCAGGCCCACATGCCATGTCTTCAGAAATAACTGCTTAGAGAAGTAGGGCTGACTGCATACAGCAAACATGAGGGAAGATAGCATTTCCATTTTCTCTCATTTTCCATCTCACCTGGAAGCTGGGAGCATTCTTCTAAAGATTTTCATCATGAGCTGGGTTATTTCCCCAGCTGTTTGTCCTTGTGTGAATCTGAAGGAAGAGTTCTGCTATTTTTTTCGAATATCGACTCAGGCTTAATCTGCCTCCTGTGGTGAAAGAAGAAAAGTTCAGCCGCAATGGCTGCATTTCCCATAAACCCCACACATGCAGAGCCATACTTACAAATTCATATTTGCTCTTTTTTTGTGCTCATTTATATTTACAGGGATCCTCTAAGAGAGCACACTGTTTTGGTAGAGAGTAATTATTCACTAATGTTAGTACCAAGAACCATGGCTGGTTTGAAAAATGACTAATGATTTTGATGTAAGAAAACCTGAAATACTTTAGAGAAGCCTGTTTTTCTGTTGAGGAACAGCTCTCCGTGGACTGGTGGGAACTCCAGCTTTGCTGTTGCTAGAGGAACTGAAGAGGAACAAAATTTGAAGATATAATCATACATTTCTCTGTAATTGGAGGAGGGATGGTACCATCTGTGCTTTGTTCTTGTCCAGGGGAAATAAAACCCACACTACCAACATCTATATATCCCCTTCATCCTCTTCGTTACATCCATCCTAAAGAGTTTAACCAGTTAAAACAGACCAGAAATAACTTCTGTATAAAATAGCGATGCGCAGTGCTATAAATGAAAGTTGTTTTCATGTGTATGGCACACACACAGCTCTCTGCTTAGCAGTTAATATCCTTAGAAAACACTTTTTTTCCCCCTGTAAAACTAAACAAAGCAACATCCTAAGAAAAAACCCTGAAAAACACCACAAAATCCCAGAGTAGTGTCATTCTTCTTGAGAAATACCTAAGAGGATAGATGGGAGCAGGGCTAATTATCTTTTTTTTTTTTTTGACCACCTACATTTGTATTTTCCCTTTGCACTCTCTCTCCCCCATTCCGCCTCTTTTTGTATAAAACAGTTCTGCAGTATGTAGAGCATAAGAATTATTTCTCTAGCAGAAACTGCAACCTGCTTACGGAGCCTCCGTACCCATTAGAGGCTCTTTCCAGAAGAAGTAATTTCCTTCTCCCCATAAATTATGCATCAATGTACATTTAAGATTCTGAAATGATGAACAGAAGATGAAAGCGTTGCGGAGCGCCGCTGTTCCCGCGGAGCTGGATCCACGTCGTTGTGTACAGGCTGGAGCACACCTTGTTAAGACAAACCTGCACGTGTTGCTGCCCTACTACTCCAGCTGTAAAAGCGTGGAGGTGGGAGCTGCTCTGGCTTCTTGGGCCTCAGCTCTGTGAGAAACACTTCTCCACCTCACAGGAGGCAGTGAGGGGGAGTGACTGCAAGTGGCTCCTGAATGGTCTTCCCAGAAGGACTCTGCCAGTCCAAGTCAGGGTGATTCCAGCTCCTGATGGGTCCTGGTGATCCTCCTTCCAGGAAAACCTGCTCCATGATCCTGCCAGGCTCAGAGGTGAGGTTGGCTGGCCTCTTCCTGGATCTTCCATTGTTAAGAAAGGGGTTGTGTTTTTCCTTTTACAATCAGTGGGAATTTCACCAGGCTGCCACAACTCCTCAGATATGGTGGAAAGTGATGTAGCTACTCCATCCAGGTTCCCTCAGGACCTGCAGATGCACCTCATCACTTCCCATAGACCTGTGCACCTTCAGGTTCTTTAGATGGTCTCAAACCTGATCTTCTCCTACAGTATCTGAGAAAACATGTACTGAAAAATATAAAAATAATGCTTTCAGGTTATATATATGGCATATGGAGATCAATAAAGAATGTAAATAAGAGTATGTTTTAGAGAAGAATTTTGCACTGTTGCCACAATTGAACTGTATAGGAGGGCATCCTTTGTGTTTTGTCATGACAGAGAGCATAGAGAAAAATTTTGTCTACCCTTGGAATCTGAAGATGGCAAATAATTGTTAACAGTAATTCCCAAAAGAAAAAATTCGGGTAGTTTTATATAAAACTGTTGTATTTAACAGGTCATTATGTGAAAATTAGAAGATTCACCTTGCAATAGGTCTGAATTGCTGTAATGCCCAGTGCTGTGGGAACAGATTCCAGACCTGAGGTTGCTGTGGAGAATTCTAGGGCAAATCAAGCACTGCTGTGGCGTGGAGGTGAAGTGAAACAGAGCCAGTGAAATACCTCTGGGCTGTTCTGGCATGAATGAATGTGCACTTATTCTGAGTCTCTTCCATGGTCAGTTAAAATGACAGGGAGGCAGCCCAAGCACTTTATACTGTTTCCATCACAGCTGGAGATGGATTCCGAGCATGTATTGGCATAGCCAGGGCTGCATCTGTGTCCCTTCAAGTTTAGCATTAAGATCTGGTTCTTCACCTCTTACCCAAGTTGAGCCAACAGCTGGATTTCCTCTTCGAAGAAAGCAGTGCCATGTGGTATCTTTCCTTTTCTCTTCTTTGACTAAGTTTTCTTTTAGAGAGAGAATAGTGTTTGCTTTCCGAATGCGACATCCCTCCTAAAAGAACCTGGGTACTAAAGCAGGCCATCGAGCCTTTCATCACTTCTCTTGGTGATAGCAGTCATGAATTTTTTATTTTCTGCAGGGCTCACTCCAGATCTGCCACAGCATTGTGTGGGTGCACACATGTAAAAAGGCTGCTAATTGAAATTCAGATGTAATGAGATGAAGTTTTGCTATTCACCATGACTGCCTTTTGTTTTAGCCCATGTATGCTCAGTGCACCTAAACAATGCAACCATTGCTTCTCCTTTTAGATTCGACAAGAATAACTAAAAAGGCAAGAAATATTTCTGTGTCTGCTGTAGAGATAAAGTATACACCCCCAAAAATGGGAATGGCACGTGTTAGTTTCTTTATTTACTTACCTGTGGGGTGGGATGGAAATTTTAATGGAACCATAAATAAAATGGAAAACTTACTGCTATAAACTGTTCTCTTTTGAAGATGCAAATGTGTCTCTATTGCCTAGGTAACTATTATGGAACGCCAAAGCCTCCAAGCCAGCCCCTCACTGGGAAAGTGACTTCCACCAATGCTTTGCAAAACCTGCAGTCTGGCTCCAAGCAGTCGACTCCGAAGCGAACCAAGTCTTACAATGATATGCAAAATGCTGGCATAGTGCAGACAGAGAATGAGGAAGAGGATGATGTACCTGAAATGAGCAGTAGCTTCACAGGTAAAGCAAAAATACCGCTGTTCTCCAGTTAGAATGCATGGGGAAAGCTTTTAGAGGGTGTTTTGAAGAGGGGGTGTTGTTTCTAATGTGTTTTCTGCAAAGCTGTCAGTGTCAAACAGAGCTGGCCGACACCTGAATGGCAGATGTCCAGCTGTGAACAACCGCATGCACAGCTGTGCCTTTCCAAAAGGACTTGTGGGATTGAACTGGTTGAGACAAAAATGTGGTAAAGTTCAAATCCATTAATTGCAGAAAGGTCGGGGAAGAGTTGAGCTACGGTTGACAGTTACAAACAGTATGAAATAACTCTACCAGGTTTACATTTGAAATTAATTATTGCTCCTTCCTAAATATATTGCTGTCCTTTATCCTTCCTTTCATTTAGAGCTGTCCATCACCTACAGTTACTGTCCTAGGTCCTCTTTTCCAAGGTACCTCCCAGCACATGGAGTGCTGCTTGCTGCAGGAATGAGATCATGGTGCAAGTTCTGTATTTCATTAAGCTCTTGTGTCCTGCTGAACAGAGATCTTGTTCCCACCATGGCTACCACCAAGCCTTGGCTGAAAGATCCCTGGAAACCTCTGCAATCTGAAGTCAAGCGCTGTGCAGGCAGATTCAGAGTAAAACACTACTGGAGATGCATTGAGTTTCCACAGAAATCAGGTGGAAGTTTGTGAAGCTCTGAGGGGCAAGAGCTCTTCCCCATGTCCCCAGGTGTAGTATTTGTTAGTGCCTAGAGATTTAGTTTTGGTCCTCTCTGGGCTGAACTGTCAAATGGCTTTTGAGTGTTGTACTCCATTTGGCTGCTACCTGCAGCACATTTCCAACTCAAATTGCTTCTAGCCAGCCTAATTTCTCCCAGGTTGGAGTTTCTGTCTTTGCTTACCAGCTCATTGACAAAATTTTGCACCAAGGGTGGTTTCTCACATGTTGTGACATGACAGCACCTCAGCCTTTGTCACGGGGTCTGATTTTGGGGAGAAGCTGGTGAGAGATCTGTTATTTGATTTCCTTGATGCCCGTCTCAGTTTGGTGACCCTGAAGTAGCTTGAGCATCATTTCTCTTCCTTGTTTTCCTTTGCAAGATGAAATACTGGAAGATGCAGCTCATTTGTCACAAAGTTATCACACCCTGGCCTCTTGCCTTCATTAAATGGGCACAGAATCAAGAAAAGAGTTATTTATCATATATCAAAGTGTTTCCTTATGTTTATTTCACATGAAAGTGTGTTTGCCATATCAAAATGCTCCTGCTTCCCTAGGAGACCTCTTGGTAACTTGTGTTTTCCAGATTTTGGCATGTTTGTTCTCTCAGTTTTAAGCTGGGGATGATTCTTTCACGCTTCTTTATCTCGTCATCTTCTACCTAAAAATACCAAATTCCAAGAGGGCTGAAAAGCAAGCACTGTGGGTACTGATGTAGTCTAGACATTTTTCTTCCTGTTCCTCCCAGTTTATTATGTTCTTCTCTTTTGGTAACGGCAGGACACAGACTGGAATAATGAAGGAGCTGTTTCCAGGGCTGTGAGTTGAGGATGTCCATGGTCTCTGGTATGGAGAGCAGGGAAGGTCCTGTCTCTGAAGCTCTTTCAGCCCCACTCCTTAGGGACTTGGCAGAGGATGACGCTGATCTCTCTTTTGCTCAGTGTGTTGTCTGTGCTTGTACTGATGTTCTCAAGGGATGTGGAAGCACTGCTATAAATTTTCAACACCTTCAAGAACCAAACAGTCCCTTTGTCTCCCTTTGGCAGACATAGCGTTAATTTTAGAATTTGTCCATTGTTGCCATAACCTTTCTGTGAAGGAGTGAGGGCACAGACCTGTTTATTGGGGAGCATTTACTGTGATTAGTGATGGGAGGGGATGAGCAGCAGTGTTTCATGGATACGGCTCAAAACTGCATGGATACAAGCATCAGAAATATTTCCTTAGAGGAAGAAGGGCCAGATACAGCGTAAAATACTCCTGACTGACTTGGACTGGAAGGATACTGTGATGAGCCTTGGAATAAACCTCCTCAGACAGCAAGAACGGTCTGAGGAGCAGCAGTATGTGGATACATGGGCCAGTGAGCAGCAACATGTGGACACAGTGCTGACATTCATTTTAATTTTTAATTTAAAATAACACACTGTGCTGAAGACATTCACCATTAGCTTGTTGACTTTGAGCTTCTGGCAACATTATACACTTGTAAAATCTCCTCTTTTGATCATTCTTCAAACAAGAAATTTTATCCTCCTAATCCTGTCCCACAATTGGCACTGCAGGAGTGAACCTGTAAGCCTGCTTGAAAGCACTCTGAACTCCTCTACACTGGTGAGCCGTGGCTTCAGACAGCTTGGAAGAATTTGGTACCTCAGCAGTGCCTGTTGGAGCAATCACAGGAGCTTATCACAGCTCCTGATTTGTTTGGCAAGGGTCTGGCTGGCAGAGTGTATGTGGGCAAGGTGAGCTCGCCCCTGCTGCCACAGAGGCTGCTGGGGCTCTGCCCTTGCTTCATCTGTTGCTGTGTCTCGTGAATTAAAGGCAAGGAGATGAAAACTGGCAGGATAAACCTAGAGGAGCAAACCAGGGAAGACAAGGAGTGATTCTCACTTTTATCTGTGTTTGTCCCGCAGCAGAGTCTGGTGACCAGGACGAGCACAACACGCATATCGTGAGAGAGGCAGCCCCACCGTCCACGATTGAGAGCCACACCCACGTCCCCACCACGGAACCATCTCAGAACCTCCCTCAATACCTACCTCCTTCTGCCGAGGATAACCTAGGTCCTCTGCCGGAAAACTGGGAGATGGCCTACACGGAGAACGGAGAAGTCTATTTTATAGAGTAAAGCACATTTTTGTTGTTCTAATTCCATCTCCCTCCCTCTTTTTGGGCTTAAGTAAACCTCCATGGATGTGTTTTGTGTGTGTACGTGTGTGTATTAAATATTTAGTGTGTACAGTGAGGTTGCAGAGCTGTTAGTTCTTTACTGCTTCTGAAGGGGTTTGCATTTCCTGGTTGGATTAACATCCAAATTACTCCTGAGTTCCAAGGCAGCGGGAATTGCTTGTTTTATGAGGGTAGTTACAAAAGCAACACTTATAAAATACAGGCCAGTTGTTTTCACGGGTGGAATGAAAGCTCCTAATTGGAAGGGCTGAGACTTCATTGCTGGTGCCTGTGTCTGTGCATAATGCAGCAGAAGGGATTCCTTCAGTCCTGTGCACAGGCAGCAGAGCCAGGGATGGACTTTGTGTGTTGTCCCCTCGTCATAGCAAAGGGGGAAAATGTGTTAATGTTCCCCAGTGGTCTGCAAAAGGTACAGCTCAGTGCAGGATAGGCACAGCAAGTTTAGAACACCACTACCTTGAGCTCTGCAGTCTTTGCCTAAGAACTGATTGCTGTCAGCAGTTTTATGATGATATTGATTTTTTTCATGCCATAGATAATAGTCTCAAATTATACTTGTCTGAATTTATTGAGGTAGGAGTAACTTAGGAAACAGGACCTGTTAGTGTAAAAGATGTCTTGCACAGAGTTTAGCTAGACATTAACACTCAATTAGCCTTTGAAACTCAAACCCTTCCTGCCAAGTAGAAGAGGGGTTGAGGAATTGATTTTGGATTTGATGGTCTGTTTAATGCAGTTGTGAAAACTCTACCAGGAGCTATTGCCCAGTTACTGCAGAGAAACTTCCTCTGCTAATTAGCTCTCTCTCCTGCAGAGAGTTTTGCTGGATCAGGGTTGTGAGGGCAGCAGTCCTGCCTCATCATCAGGAGAGGAGACTTTTGGACAGGGCCAGGGAAAGGTTCAAGAGCAGGTTTTCCCTTGGCTGCCGTGGCAAGGGAACATATTAGAGGAGATTGCCAGAGGAGCTGGAATGACTGAGGGCATCACAGCAGCTCTTCTTCAGCTGGGAGAGGGCTGCTCTAAAAAAGGCCATTTTCCAGGGCACTCTCAATTACCTGAAGAGGCTCCAACAGTCCCTGAGTGTAAGACAAGGTCGAGAAGGCAGAATGCAAATTCTCATCAGATGAAACCAAGATGTGTACATTACCCTGAGCATGGCTTTCTGCCCCTCACTGTGTCCTCAGGGTGCCTCGTTATTTGATGTACTCTCTGGCCTTTACATACAGAACAGCCTAATAGCCCGTTCAGCCTGCCATTTTCCTCCTTGGAGGAGGACAGATGATGAGCAGTAAATGCTGCCTAAGCAGTTGGTTGCTCCCCTTTTTGACCCCACAGGGGCCCCTGCTGTCCTTCCTTACAGGTGCTTCCATCAAGGGTTCTGCCACCACCGATTTCCCCAAACCCACCCCCATGGCTGCTGTGTCTGTGTTCTTCTAACAAGGCAGGACTGTAGCACCTCCAAGTAGTTTGTCAGGAGAATCACGTATGTGCTGGGAAAACACAGCCTGTACACATAGGGTTGTGTGATGTGAAGCTCTGGTAGCAGTACCTGCTCCCTCCCTGTGGTGTGGTTTGAGGATTCATTCACACGGGGCTGAGTTTGTGCATGAACGTGTTGGTGTGAGTGCAGCACTGAATGACTGCAGTTCTGTTATTTCTAAGGACATCCTGAGCCTAGAAACCATTTAGTTTGATTTGTATCGGATTAAGAAAGTGAACTAATGAGCAGTGTGGACCCAAGCTGGCTCAGATATCTGTTCCAGCATCTGTGGTGCTTTGGGTATCAAGTTAGGGTGCTGAAGGGAGCAGCATGAGCTTCTTGCACAGAACCAGTGCAGGTCCTGTGGGGCCAGGGCTGTGTGTCAGATAACCAATCCTGATGTAGCTGGAGCAATTTTGTTCTTTGAGATATGTTTCTCTGGAGCTTTAATTGGGATTTTTTTATTGCACAGCATGTCCCTGTCCCCTGTTATCTGTGCATGTTACAGGTCTAACACAATCCTTTCCACCTGAGAGTGTGATCTGAAGGGTATTTAGCTAAATTTTCTGTGCCTCAGCAAACCAGACTGTTGTGAGCCTTTGGTTAGCAAGTACAAAATTGCAGGAAACATGCAAATATTCTATTGCTCTCCTCCCACTGCCCTCCTTCTCAGCTAGACTGCAGACTTGCTTATAAATAAGGTGGCAGACCCCCTCTGCTTTATTTTTGTTAATTTGCCTGACTTGCTGAATTTCTGCCATTCAGTTTTCTAGGTGCTGATTAATTGCTCTGAAGCACACATCAGGATTAAACACATTTGCTCATCCTGCCTTGGGAGGGCTGGGTAGTAGGATGTGTAAAACAAGGCCCTTTTATTCACTGACTTGGGTTCTTGGGAGCAGGGCTGGCCCCTTTTCTTCCAGTACAATACAAGTTTGCTGGTTGGTTGTTAGTTCCTCAGGGATCGTGGCCCTCATTGCAGAGCCCTCATGAGGCTGCTGTGAGGCTAAAGTTCAGTCTGTAAACCTCTTTGGGACCTTGAAGGAGAAGTAAATAGCATTACTACGGTATTGGAACTTAAAACTGTTAAGCAGTGTTAAAGGCTAAGCTCGATATGTGATACCTCAGGGAGTGCAGGGATATTTAGCAGGTTGTGTCTAAGATGACACCAGGTTGTAGAAAAGGCATTTTATTACCAGATAGTCTGCTTATGCAAATGAAATTATGGGAGAAAATAACTTCTAGAAAAATGTATTTTAAGCCTGTTTACTATGCAACATTCACCGCTGGGACTGGCATCATGAGGCTGTCAGGGGACTTGTGGAAAAGAAGAGTTGAAAGTAAAACTGTTCGACTTCCATCAAAGGCTTAGACAGAATATTTTTATTTGTGTAATTACGAAGTTTTAAATCAAAACCATTTAATGCTTGGGTCAACTCTACACATGTCAAAGGTCTTCCGTAGGAACAAAGCTCACTGCATAATTTAGTGGGGAAGAGAAACTTCTGCCTTTAGCTTATAGACAGCTCTTGGAATTAAAAACATGCCACCAAAGGCAAAAATTTGGAAATTAATATTATAATATTGGAACATTCACATGCCTCTTTCCATTCAGGAGTGCTGATTTGTATATTTTCACTTGTTACCTTTGTATTTTCAATGCCAAAGTTCTTGTGATTTGGTCGACTAGTTTGCACAATATCAAATTGTGTAGCTGTTTCTTTGAATCAAAAGTATGCCTTCAGGTCTGCTGAATAACAAAGAAAATATATACTTTTATGTCACGGATACTTTAACTCTGGTTTATTAACAAAGGTCATATTTCCATTTTTGGTTTCCAGCCATAACACAAAAACAACATCTTGGCTAGATCCGCGGTGCCTGAACAAACAGCAGAAGCCTCTAGAAGAATGTGAAGATGATGGTAAGAGAAAAATAGTGTTTGGTATATTCCCAGGTGACTTTTTCCCTTTTCCTTCTCTCTTTCTAATAACTAGTATTCAGAAAGACTTTTTAAAAAAAAATTAAAAATTTATTAGTAAGTAGAAAGAGACAATATCCGTTATGTTGTAGAATTGCTGTGAATGTAAAGCAGCCATTGAGGTGCCAGATCATTTAATAAAAATCAAGGAGGTGCTACGAGTAAGAAGCCTCTGTTTTTGCAAAGGCATTTGAAAAGCCACTGGTGCTGAACAAGACTCAAAGCTGTCTGACATGTTTGCTTCTTGGATCGCTGTGTGGGAGGGAGTGACTGAGTCTCTGCGTGCTCCGCTGTGTTCCGCTTCAACCGCCTGCTTCACATGGATTGAAAGAGTTATGTTGTTATTTCGTTGTTTGAGCAGAAATAACTCAATTGCTTCACTTCTGCTGTTAAATGCTGACAGTCTGCGCAGTGTTGTGATTGCTGAAATGAATTCCATTTGAAAGTGTAGCTTACTGACACTGAAAGTGTGCACTAAGATTTGGTATTCCTTGAGATGTTGGAAATGCAAGCCACTGTCCGATTTAGAGCAGCCAAATGCAGGACTGTTAAAGGAGGTCCCTTCCCAGCCTCCTTTAAGAGATGCTGGAAGAAAAAGCAAATTATGAAGACAACTTAAATGTTTGGGAAGACCTGTGAGGGAATTTTGGTCTACTGACCAGGAAAGGTGATGGTATTGAAATACATAATCTTGGCTAATAGAGTACTGTCATGGTAGACACTTCTTAAAAATGGACCACTTTATCAGTGTTTGTACTGTCCTTGTAAAATCAGTTTTCAAAATATGATGAACCTCCTACTGGTGTCAGTCCTCCAGTGAAAATCACAATTTTATTTCAGAAAAGAATCAACTCAATCCCTTTTCACTGTAAGGTTCAACCATGGCCTCCAGAACTGCTGTTAATTGTTTCTACACATGTAGTTTTTCAAACTCTTCTGTCTTTCACTTGTGAGAATTTACCTCTGCACTCTAGGCTGCTGTGATGAGGCAGCTTTCTAGTGCACAGTGCAGGATACCCTCAAACCACAGGGATGTGCTGCGAGGAGCAGCCAGTGCCACAAGGCTACAGCGGGTGGCTGAGCTCCTCTCTTACACTTTTAAGTCTCCTCGCAGAAGGGAAAGTCTTTCTCTTGTCCTCTAAGCAATTATAAAGCAAACATTGGAATAATTTGTTTAATTTGGAATAGAAAAATACAGCTGGTATTATTGTATTTCATTGAGTTCATAATTTTGGAGAGCAGTGGCATCTTTGTTTATCAACTCCTTAAAATCAGCTAATTTCATCTTCCCACACACTCCTTCACTTCATTCACCAACTTGCTCATTAATGGATATTTTTAACATTCAATAGTTAAACCAGTTGCTTCATACTTACAGTAGTGCTCTGCACTGCTTTGCTTGGCTGCTCTAATCTTGCTTAGCACACGAGAATAATTATGTTTCAAAAAACAAAGTGGGGAGAAGGTTAGTTTTGCTTCATCATAGAAACTGGAGGTTTTTTGGCAAGGGTCACTGTTGTGTGTCCCTCCATACAAGTCAGTGGGATGATTCCTCTGTTTTGTTTGGTGTGTGTGCATGTGAGTTGCAGGCTCATCCCACCCTATTTATTGATTTTATAATTGTTAAATATTATTTCAGATTTGTTTGGGTGCAGTTGCCTTGTGCTTTTGCTTCATCAGGATATATATCCCTAACAAAGCTTTTGCTTGTTTCCCGCTGTTTAGGCTATGAAAGGAAATTGTAATTTGTATTTCACACTAATGGTCCCAAACAACTGCTTTGATAGAATGTTTTGCAAAGAGGTCATGGAAGTGGTTTTTTGGGTGTCCAGCTGTTGCAACCCTACATCTTCTGGTTGCTTCTGTCATTCATTTATGTGGCTTAAACTTTGCTGTATTGGGTCTGAGGTTGTTTTTACCATCTTTGTTCTGGTTTTGTCACCATCTTTCATTTTCAGACTGCATTATTATTATTTATAGGCCAAGCAATACTTTAATCATCTGTGTCACTGGTAACTTATGAATATGGAGCAGATAATGATAAATGGAGCAACAGCGAATATTGATGGCTTTGTGTCTTTGAAAAATGATGTGATCTTTGTCCCAGGTGCCCTGCTAAAACTGGTGCATCCCTGTCTGTGCCTCACCAGTGCATCTGGACTGTGGGTCTGTGCCTCCAGTTAAACAAGGCACTTCACTTCATGTCTGTCTTAAATCATCTGAGTAGGACAGTGAAGTCTGTTGGACCTTGTGTGCACATAAATTTAGGTGCTTTCTTGAAAACCTTGCTACATTGGTCCTTATTTAGGTGCAAGGTTTTCCTCTCAGATTTCTTCATTAGAATCCAGGTCTGGCCTTCTGATAGATCCATTTGTCTGTAGAACAGATTGTAAAGGTCAGACCGTACAGATCTGAGGGAGAAGCCTCACTACAGTGAGAACATCACAATTTCATGACTTTGCCATATCAAACCATGACGTGGAAGTAGTCCATCAATGCAGATGTTTTGAGAGTGCAAGAACCATTTCTTTCATTATCTGCATCAGATCCATCAATATTCTGATCACTGGAGTGTGATAAATGGAAAGCTTGGGCTCGGTGTGTAGAAAATTAGTGCTGGTTCTGCTGTTTGCTGTAGGGAATTTCTTGCTTGGGGCTGGTATCTGAAATTTTCTTTTAATTTTTTCTGTCTCATTTACTGCTCTTCCCTTGGAGAAGAAGGGGTGCACACGGAGGAACTGGACAGTGAACTAGGTAAATCATCCATCTCTCATTTTGATATTTGACTTCAACTGCACTGTTTTGAGCTTTTAATTACTTACTTTCTCCTTTGTATCATTTTGCATCTTTCAGGTTTTTTTTTTTTTATTTCAACAAGAGTGATTTATCATCAAAACTTCGCCAGCACACAGAGCATTTATCTTTCCCTAGCTTCAGATCTGCAGTGGTTTTCTTAGTGATTCAGAGTTTGAAGAAAGCTAGAGAGCCCCAATCTTGCAAAGTTGTTTTGAAGCTGCTTCCTCCTGGACTCTGCAGAAGTTGGGGTCTTTTCATTTTGCATCTCTGGTTCCAGGAAAAACCTAATAGATGCCAGAGATGAAATGAAGTAGCTCATGATGCTTTTCCAGTGGGGTCCAAGGCATTTCCCAGACAATAAAAGCTAAGTGTGATTCAGAAAGTTTAAGTATTACATCAGATGCTTCAGCTGAGCTTGTGAATGAAACAGCTTAAAATTTTCCCTCAGTCAGTGATTTTATAAACAGATGATTTTCAATCATGTGGTACACTTTTATTTGCTGCATCTCTTTGTGAAGGATGCTGTCTTGATATCTAATCTCAGCAGTGCTCGTTGTGTTTATACTGATGGCAGAGGTAGTTGTTATTTCTGCTCAGCTATGCTCTAGTGCACTCGCAGAGCTGAAAGGATAAGAGGTTGCATAGGATTTTATTTCCACTAGGACTATTATTGCTTTTAAAAAGGACTGTAGTTACAGTTCTTGCATACTGGAGGAATTGTATTAGAAGAGAATTAAGCTCTGGTTTCTGTAATGACTTGCAAGTAAGTGTATTCTGCTCCCTGCTTCTGTGTGATGGATACAGCATCAGCAGCCAGCAGTGGACTTGGAACACTGCTCCACAAATGCTTCTTCTGAATAATATGCCTGGAATAATATGCCCAACTTCTTATAGAGCAAGAATTTGAAAGAAATAACAATGTAAAGTAGAATTCAGTCTCTTTAGTGGTCCATGAGTGTTATGTGCAGCTCGTACAAATGATCAGCAGCAGATGTAGCATCAGAAGTAGGTGGATGCAGATCAGCAATCTGCAAAGGGTTCTCACGAAGGTCTTCACAACCAGTGGCTTAAAATGAGAGGGAGGTTTTAAAAAAGCAAATTTAGAGGCAGTTTTAAACAGAAATTACCCTTCTTTCAGTCTGCTATCAGGAATTAGTACAAGAGCAGAGCTGAAAACATAGATGCAGGGAAATTCATTAATTGATAAGACTGACCCTGGATCTGCAGGCACTTATGTACACAGGTGTTCCACTCAAGCATCGCAAGATATTCCCTTTATTTCAGTGCAGATAATTTTTATTGAGCTCATAGCCCATCAATATGCTGTTGAGATGTGCAGACATTGCAGTGTAAAGAAACATTTTCAAAGTACTCAACTGGTTACAGCAACATTAGGGAGGGGGCATGAAAACTTAGTATAGTTGTAGTAACTCAGGTTAGTAAAAACTGGTTGGCAACAGCTATTTATTGCCTTAACTTATCAAGAGTTTATGCTCTAAATATAAGATTAAGACTTGAGGCATTTTCGCAACTTCTTGTTTTCCAAAGAGCTGTGGAGTAATAGGTCACCACATTTTAACAGAAGGTTGTTTTTCAGACACAAAAAATTCTTTTTGGCTTGGACCAACCCTCATAGCTTCACAGGGAGCAGTAGGAGCTGAGTGTACTGAGTTCCTCTCCAGCTCCTTCACAGCAGTGCATGGCTGCAGCTGAATACCTGGTGGCTAGAGAAGTAATTTTGTAGGAATCCTTCCAGCCCCTCTGTATGTAGGGCAGGATACTAGAGCATCTCAACAGGAATCCGTGTGCTTATCCAAGGCTTAAAATTGTGACATTAAGTATTTGTCCATTGAATTTACCCACCTGCTGATAAATGCTCTGAGACTGCATTGGTGCTGTATGGATGTACCAAAATAAGAACCATATGGCTCACTCAGGCTCCTAATGATGCAAAATGTTTTTTGAAATCTCATCTTTGTGGTAAAATCTAATGCTCTGGGTCATCTTCAGTTTGGCAGGAGAGATAGAGAAAGGAGATGAATAATTTAATTCAGCTAAGAAGCTAGACTGCAACATGGCTGTGGAGAATATTGCATTTTGCTTTAGAGAACTTCTGGAAGCTTGTAGGAGTTGAAAAGTGCCTCTACATAATCAACAAGAAATGTGTTAAAAGCTGTAGTTTTGTATATTGTTATATCTGAAAACATGGAGATTTGTTCCTTAAAAAAAGCTGCAGAGATAGTATGCTGGAAAGATTTTGGCATAGGGCCATTTTTGGGGTTAGGAAAGTGCTGGTGTTCTGATCTTTTGTGAAAATACTTTACAAGGGAGGAATAAAAGAGAAATTTAATATAAAAATCTTTTGTGAACAAAAGAAAAAAACCAAGTTTTTTTGCTTAAACTTTAAAAATAAAAGAGCACTTAATAGTCCAAAACAGACAAAAGATATTTAGCATGACACTGGTGGAACTCATTTGAAGTGCATTGCTTCTCCTTTCCCTCATTGACTTTTTATTTTTCTTTCACCTCAGCTTGATCTCTTTATCATTCTACTTTCACCACAGTGCAACAAACTAAATGGCTGCAACAGCTTGTGATTTTCCCAACTTCATGCTAGGTCTTAATTGAATCACACTGAAACTCTTGGAGCCAGTCCCACGGTGTTCTCACCTTCTGGGACTTCTCTGCAAACCTGAGAGTTCCCTTTGCGAAAAGACTTTCAAGATTGGCCTCTAGCTTTCTGACTTTTTCTCAAAAAAACTTGCAGGGTGTAAAGGAATATCTAATTCTGAAGCCTTCGATCTGCTGATAAAAACATGGAGTTTTTTCATGCCCAGAAGTTAGCACTGGCTTGCATTTAATGGCTTATGTCTCAAGGAATCCAAAGGTGTTAAACACAAGGAGGATAAAATAATGATAAGAATGGAAAGCCTACCTTTTATCTGCAAATAAGGAACATGTGGAGCAAAACCCTTGAAAATTGATTTCATCTGATCTCCAGCCAATTCTGAACACCAACATAAACTTTGAGTAATTAGTCTATGTGTGTTTGTATAGATGCTGTTCCTCTCCAGTCTTGAGATATTTCTATCCTTAAGCAACATTATTCTAATTAATGGGCCACTGTTGATTGTATTGGCTCAGCAATTGATGCCATTAAAAGAAATAAATCTCTGCATTTGATAATGAACAAACATAGATTCCTGTCAGTGTTGATGAATTTCATGTTAAATTTTGACAAATTATTTTGCATGGGGTAGTTGAGCTTGTGTCATCCAACAATGTTGGGTTTTTTTCTGTATTTAAATGAATGTGCAGAATTGGTGGGACCACATGAGCACAGTCCATAGTGTGGTGGAGCCTTTTTCTGAGTTGTTTCACTGTATTTCACAAACACACCACTCTGTGTTGTTAACAGGATGAATATTTTGTTACCCCCAGCCAGTGGGAACATTGTGTTTAAATGAGTGGCACATGGATCACACCCTTAAGTAACACATACAGCTTTAATAACCCTCAGTTGGATGCTGAAGTGATTGCATTACATTCACTAATTATAGTTAAAGTACTATCTGCAGTCTAGAAAATCAACAGGAACAAAAGCGGATCCATTTCAAAATGTTAATTTCATCTTCAGAACTGTTTTTTGTCAATTATGGTAATGAAAGGAAGGAAATCTCTGTTCCATGTGACTGTGGCACTGTGTGTTCTTACATGAAGTGTTGTGGAATGAAATACACCCGTGTGCCAGCCCTTCTCGGGTGGGTTCCATATGTTGGTTAAATCCACCTTGTCCTGGTTTTGTGTTGGGCTCATGGCTGAGCCATGCAAATCCCAAAGAAAGGAGTAAAAAAATCCTCTTTTCTGCACTGGTAAGCATAAATGGCTTTGCCCTGGTACAGGAGATGGAAGTGGTCTCTGTCAGTGGGCTAAAATTTCTTGCCATAGTCTCACCCACCTTCGTGGGTTGGTGTTGAAATGCCCTGGCCTTTCCTGCACTGCTCCATCCAGGGCCACTGGCCATGGTGGAGAATCCAGGGGTGTACTTGAGGCAGTCCCAGACAGGAAATTTATTGAGCATTTGCTCATTTAATGCAAAAAGCAAATCAAAAATTGTCCAGTGTGGGTGTCTTCCCTGTGATGTGCTGACCCAGCACGGGGGCACAGGCTGGGGTGTTGGTGTTGTGCTGTGCCAGCCCTTCAGAGGGGGCTGTGATCATTAAGTATCCAAAGCAAGGTCTGACCTACTGATGTGTTTTGCACGTTGGGCAGGAGCAGCTGCCTGTCAGAAAAAAACCTGTCTTGGAGGCTTCAGTAATGCTTTTTCTATTTCCAGAGTTGCCTGCTGGTTGGGAGAAAATTGAGGATCCCGTATATGGTGTCTACTATGTAGAGTAAGTGCTGCTCCCTGTTTTGGTGTGGCTGCTGGGGGAGGAGCCTTTCCCTCAGCCCACTCTGTGCTTTGCTGGTAACATCTCAGAGCAAGGAGGAGAAGACCTTGGCCCATTACAGGCTGGGGGATGTTACAGGGTCTTGGAGGGGACAGCCCTGTCTGGCCATTCCATCCACCCCAGAGCAGGAGTGGGCTCAGGGAGGGCAGTAGCAATCCAGGTTGGCATGTGCAGGAGCCCCAGCACCTCACAAAATACTTCTATCCAAAGAACATTAGCAAGTGTGCAATTAACTGAGTTCAGTCCCCTTTGTGCAGTGCTGTGGTCACAAAATGAGTGTGCAAAGCAATCCACCAGCCAGTTGTGTCAGAAGACACCCAAAAGGAGGAATGGAGGAGATGGTGTGACCAAACAGCCATGGCAGAGGCTCTTCCATCAGGCTGTGTGGTTGTGAATAGAATTACAGGTTTAATGGGACTCTCTGTGGAATTAAAGCAGCTTCTCCTTTATCGACATGTCAGATTGCTCCTCTGGGAAAACAGAGATCGGAGTTTTGTTTCATCACTGACCCCATAAAATGAATTTTTAATTATGTGTATACTCCTGTCTAGTAGTATGGCTTATGATAGCCCTCAGAATAGACATGGAATACAGTTTCTCTCTGCTTTGGCTCATTTCTGACCCTACCATCTGTGCCTAGGGAAACAGGGTTAGCAAACTGTGTAATTAAGGCTTGACATTTATTTACCAAAGACATCAAGAATATTTTTCAAATATTAAATGCCATGCCAAGAGATCTTTACAGATATTGGTCTGTCACTTAATGTACACATGCCCATTAGTTTTGTGGCACTCCTTACTGGTCAAATTAAATCACAAAGTAACTGCAATAAGACATAATTTTATTTTACTTGCTATCTCTAAGCTAGCAAGATGGTTATAATTTTAGCATTTGTCTCTGTCCCTTCAAATCAGGCACTCTGTTACGACATAATAGTTTTCATTGAGATACAATTGTATCATGAAAAAGTTTATATCATTTTTAAAGCAGTTATCATTTTTTCTTGCCTATTTGAAGGTATCTTGAAATGGGAAATCTTTTTCAGAGAGTTAGAACTCACTAACTTGTTTTTTTTATTTAGTAAGTTAAATACTCTTTTAGTGATTTAATGTTGATCTTTAGCAGAAAATTTTCTGAACATAAATCCCTGGAGTGCTTCTGTCACAATTACTTGAAAATGTGGTTGTTCCTCATGTGGGGTTTTTTTTATAAAGGCATACGGGATCAGAGACAATATAATAGCCAGTTTTTAATGGTAAACTTTGCTTTGTATACAAAGATAGGCTTTAAGGTAATATATTTTTCTGAGGTCTGCTTGTAAAATCACTACTGAAAATGGCTCTTGGACAGTTGATGAGCCATTCAGGGAGTCCCAGCCCTGCCCCTGCCACCCCAGCATCTGTGGCTGCTGTTCATCACTTGGTTTAATAAGGTTTAATCCTCTGGTGAGTGCATGCCTTGTCTGCCATGATGGGACTGGGCTGATTTTTTTTTCTTTTCCTGGAACTGCTGTAAAGTATTGGTTCTCAACATCTCATGGTGCTCAAAAGCTGCCTGAGGAAAGCAGCTGAAGTTTCACTAAATGCTGGTTTCCACTGGGAGTATTTGCTGGTGGCTGATTCTGGATAGATTTTGATCTATTTGGAGCCCAGCTCATAGCCTGCATCCCTGCAGATATTTTTAAGACACCCTGTGTGCATTGATCAGATCGCTGACAGATGTTAGGGTTTGGTTTGTTTAGTTTTTGTTTATTTTGTTTTGTTTTGTTTTTAACTTGGGTGAGCCAGGAAATGACTGCACCTCTGGGAGTCTGATTATGCAGGGATGATACAGGCCTGTCTTTTAAAATGCAATCAGACAGCATGCCTTTCCTGCTTTAATCTCATTTTTCACAGATAGATCACTCCTTTAATCTATTTGAAGGAATTAGCCATACCTACTTGAGACATCATATCAATACCACAACCTGCTTGTTTTTCTAAATACTCTTTTTGGGACAACTGGATGAGCCTTGCTCCACACCCACTGCTGTTTGGTTTGTTTGGTATTTTACTCCTTTCCTCAGAAAAAAGAGTTTCAATGCCTGGCCCTCATTCCTGCTTGCTGCACCACAGGTTTCCCTAAATCATTGCTCTCTTCCCTCTCCAGCCACATCAACAGGAAGACACAGTATGAAAACCCAGTTCTTGAGGCGAAGAGGAAGAAGCAGCTGGAACAGCAGCAACAGCCTCCAGAAGGTTGGCACCCTTGAGGGCAGCGTGGGTGGGGTGTTCATGGGGAATGTCCTCCCTGGCCATGGCAGCGCCGTGCCAGTGTGTGTGTCCTTCCCTCGGTGGCCGTGGTGTGTAGAGGCAAGGGGACGTGCATAGGAGTGGCTGCATTTGTCCTTCACAGAAGATGCAGCAAAGGAGGAAATCTAAACTGTGTCACACGTAGAAGGTTTGAATCCTGTTAAACAGGAGAGATTTCTCTTTATGTGTCCTTCGTTTCTGGAAAGTTTCTAGACTTCCCAGAGACAGCTAAAACACATTTTCCTCTTTAGTTTGCTCCATCATGGTGTTGTTCCAGGGTGCCCTGGGACTCAGGCTATCAGAGGGGATGAGGACTGGGCACTAAGATGCACTAAAACCCTGCATGAGAGACTTCTTAAACAGAGAATGTATGTTGTCAGGCTCTAAAATCTGAAGTAATTTCCTTATTTTGAAACGCATTTTAAAAATTTATTTTCCTCCCTCCCAGCCCCTTTTTTTCTTTCTTTCTTTTTACATTTTTTTCTTCAAATGCAGCCCAACTGCAGTGAGGGCCCCTGTGGCGTTTGGGCTTGTTCTTCTTAGATGCCATGAGTGGCACAAAGAGTAGATTTCATTTAAATGTCAAGCCCACTTAGATGCAAATCACATCCCGAGTTTCAGTGCGAGATAGGATGCCCCAGCAGATGGATCAGTTGACCTGGATATAGAGATCCTTCAGAACTGGTTTTTGGATGTCTCATTCATTTTATTCCCTCTCTCTGTGACTGTTTCCTCTCTTGCCATACTTCTCACCTCTCCTCTGCTTGACCCCCATATTCCCAGCATGTGCACATGCAGCAGCTCGTGGTGCTGTTGTGAAACCAGTAACACTTCCCTCTCTGCCCTCTCTAGAATGGACAGAGGAGTGTCCATCTCTCCCTCCACCTGCTGCTCCAAACCATGTTTCAAACAACCAAGAGGCAGTTCGGGAAGCACCAGTACAAGGTAACAGCCTTGTTAAACCAGTTGTAAAAGAGCAACAAGGTTTTTTTCCTGAGGATGAAATTCCTTCAGCCGCCACAAGGGCAGTATTTCCACGACTGGTTATACACCAGGGCCTATGCCTGCTTAGCTGAATTCCCAGATTTTGAGACTAGTTCTGTCAAGACTACATTTGTTGCTGAATGCAAGAGGTGAATGAGATTATGTGCATCGAAAAGAGGATTGTGGCATATTCTCTGTGTAGCATTCCAAGTTTGCAAACACAGTGGACTTACTCAGAAGTTGTACTTTGTACCGGTACTTTGGGCTATTACAGCCTTATTTATTGTGTCAGTGGTCTGTGTAGCCAGTTACTCAGAGACCAGTTGTTTGCCTTAAGTAACTCACCAGGCAGTACATGAATCATTCCTGAATTTGCAGCATGAGCTGAAACATTGCCAGGTCAGCTCACCAGCAAGGGCAGGGAGTTCCACTTGTACCTGTGGCAGTAAAGTGCTCTCTGGTTACAAGTGGTTGTAAGTAGGCTTATTTTTGACTACATCTGAATTGCACTGCAAGTGAGTGGCATTGCCCTGGTCTGCAGGAGCCAGAGCCTGGGCAAGGTGAGAGGGGGAATCTGGCAGGAATGCATCTTCCTGACAGAGTTGGGAGCAGCTGGGAGCTGAGTACTCCTGTGGTCTCTGAAGGCAAGCCTGACTGGAAGGTACCATCCCAGGCAGCCTTTCCTGCCAGAAAGAGCCAGAAAGTGCTCTCTGCAGCAGGCAGATCAGCCCTTCCAAAACAGACATGGCCACCAAAATTGTGCAGCAGTGTTAGAGCAGAGCATTAACCTCTCTCAGCACCACTCTGACACATCCTGGTATCTGCTGATGACTCCTCCCCTCTTTCATTCCTTCCTCTTCTTTTCTCAGTGCTGTTCCCTCTTCTCTCACTCCCCATTTGCAGCAGCTTTTTTCCAGCTTCCATGCCCAGAGGTTTCCATATCTCCCCCTGATTGCACTGCTGCCAGGGACGTGGGCACAAGGAGCCCTCCCTATGCCCCTGGCAACACCCTCACAGCCTGGGTTTTGTAGATACACTAATTTCAAATGTGATACCCTCTTGAATGCTGTAGGTGGGATGTAGCCTGTGGTGCTGCTGTCCTGCTGCTGCAGCGCAAGTTCAGCTTGTGTCTGTGGGCAGACACCAGCAAGCCCTGCTTGTTCTGCTTGTCCTTTGAACCAGGAATGAGCCCTGCTGCACTCTTCCTCTCTGCTGTGTTTGTTACCTGAGACACTGGGTTGCACTTTGATTCTCGGGGCTTTTTTGCAGGCTGGGGTCTGAGCAGACCATCTGCCCACAATGTGCAGGATTCCCATGTTCCTCTGAAACCCTTCAAAGGCAAGAAAACTACAAGTCCTCACACTGCCTCCTCATGAATAATCTTCAAATATACATTTTTCCCCCCAGTCAAAGGCTTACTAGTCTCAAATCCTCCCGCTCTCCCCCGAGGTCTCCTTTCTGAGCAGAGGCCCACAGCAATGTTGCTGAGGTGTTTGAAAGTGCTCCAGCTCTGCTGGCTGGGATACCCACTGCTGATCCCAGAGCCGTCACCAGAGGGCTTAGTGGCACAGGCTAAGCGTTAAAAACAATTAAAAGTGCAAAGGTGTCTAGTGTTGGCACTGTGAAGTGCAGCAAGCATGATCCCTTTTCTGAGCCTGTGCAATATGCTTTGCAAGGATGTGCTTTTGTCCGTGGAGCACCTCTTTCCCTCTTAGCTGGGTCCCAAAGAGCATTCCCAGCCCTCCAGCACAACTGCTCTAGTCCTGAGCTGCTCTTTAATTCATACTTCACACCAGAAGTGTTTCATCCACAACAGGCAAGAAAGGAAAGAGAAAAGACTTCAAACAGCGTCTGAAGAACAACATCAGCGTCCTCCCCTTTTTCACTAGAGGTCACAGGGTAGTAGCAATGGTGGGGCTGGGGGTTGTGCTAAAGGGTATCAGCATCTTGTCAGAGCTCAGAACTTGTTTTTTGCACAGTGGGTTGGGAGAAGGTCAGGTGGTGAAAGACACAATGATGCCTCTTTCTGCAGCATCTCTCAGTGCAGACTCCTTCTGTAGGAGTCCCCCTAACCCTGCCCCATCCTTCCTGGGATGGATATAACCACCTGAGGACAGAGATGAGACACACATCTAGCCCAGCATTCCCAGCTTTAATATATTCCATTCTTTAAAGCAGCATGCTTTTCCCTTTGTAGCCGTGGGGCTTTGGTGCACACGACCACAGCTAACAAAGTGCCAGGTACTGGGGTTTTGTTCACGACTTTTACTGCATGCCTGAATCCAGGGAGACAGGTGAAGTGTGATGAGATGAGAGGGTGCAGGAGTGAAGTGCAGTCCTGTCCCTGCACACTGCTGTGTTTGTGCATGGACTCGTTAGAATGGGGAGGGGCAGAGGAAAGAGAGATCAAACACTCTTGCCTGCCTGCTTATAGATTTTTTTCCAAACTTCCTACACAGGAAAACCCTTTTTTACACGAAACCCTTCTGAGTTGAAGGGGAAGTTCATTCACACCAAGCTAAGGAAAAGCAGCAGGGGGTTTGGCTTCACTGTTGTCGGAGGAGATGAGCCAGATGAATTCCTCCAAATCAAGAGTCTGGTGCTTGATGGTCCCGCAGCGTTGGATGGCAAAATGGAAACAGGTACTGAAGCTTTATATCAAAATCATCACAACCACTTTGGTTTGTGCTTTTGCAGCTGGTTTGAAGTGCTGTTCATAAAGGACTGTAGTCTTCATCCTCCCTTCTTGGGGAAAGTCAGTCAGCTTTCTGATCAGCAAGTAAGGAGGTGAGATACATTGAGGGATGTTTCCAGAATCTTGGAAAAGGACACTTCATGTGTTAGAATTCCATCTCAGTGTCAAAATACCCAGCTGGGGCAGTACCAGCTCCTGCTCTCTCCACACTGATCTGAGGAGAGGAGCCAGCAGTTGTGGGGCTCCACATCAGGATATGGGTTCCTGCTCCCTGTTGTGGCAATGGATGATGGATGTTTGTAGGGCTGCACCACCATGTGTTTGTGTCTCTGCCATGCTGCCTGCCCCTTTCCAAAGCTGCTCCCAAGGAATGGGCTAATCTGCATCTCCCTCTGTGGAGGCACTGAGGGCAAATTGATTTTGCCAGAGATCAGGTCCACCACAGTTTAGTGGCAAAATATGAAATATGGTTTAGTGGTGAACACAGTGGTGTTGGGTTAATGGTTTGACTCAATGATCTTGGAGGTATTTTTCCACCTTGATTCTATGAAGTCCTCTTAGGCTTCGTCTGAGGTCACAACTCCTCACTTTCAGTTGGAGCATCACAGCCCTTAACATCCCTCTTTTGCAGCCCCAGTGTTAATAAAATGACTCATAACTTAATTGATAGCTGGATTTCAGGCTGAAGTATGAGACATGACATGTGGCACTCACTGTGTTTGAGCAGTTGGTATTTGAGAGCCTTCTGTTACAGCTCCCATGTGCTCTCAGTTTTGTTTAGATCATATGTCAACGTGTAACAGGGAGAGCTGGACTTCAAAAGAGCTGTGAAACAGGCCATATACCATCATTTAAATTCATTAATTTTTTGCATGAGCCAATTCCGTTTTCACTTTCAAAAACATTTATGTACATAAAGGCTTTATGCCGTGTATCCAGAGAGTTTTTGCCCGCCCAAGTGTCACCACTCCTGCTTGTGCTGAAATGCTGCTGTTGCCTGTGAGTGGTACCTGTGGATGCTGCAGATCTGCTCTCAGGCTGGAGTCCTCACCTTTCTGCAGTGCACAAAATGGTCTCTCTGTCTGTGTCCGCTGCAGGGGACGTCATAGTCAGCGTGAACGACACCTGTGTGCTGGGGCACACTCACGCCCAAGTGGTGAAAATCTTCCAGTCCATCCCCATCGGTGCCAGCGTGGACCTGGAACTGTGCCGGGGCTACCCCCTGCCCTTTGACCCCGACGACCCCAACACGAGCCTGGTCACGTCCGTGGCGATTTTGGACAAAGAGCCCATCATTGTGAACGGGCAGGAAAACTACGACTCCCCAGCGAGCCACAGTAGTAAAACAGGGAAAGTTAATGGCACAAAGGAGGCGAGGCCCAGCAGCCCGGCTGAGGTCTCCTCCAATGGACCTCATGGCTACCCCAACGACACGGTGTCTTTGGCATCCTCGATAGCAACACAGCCTGAACTCATAACTGTGCACATAGTGAAAGGGCCCATGGGCTTTGGGTTTACTATAGCAGACAGTCCCGGTGGGGGCGGCCAAAGAGTGAAACAAATTGTGGACAGCCCGCGGTGCCGCGGCCTGAAGGAGGGCGACCTCATAGTCGAAGTCAACAAGAAGAATGTGCAGAGCCTCACTCACAACCAGGTGGTGGATATGCTGATTGAATGTCCTAAGGGAAGCGAAGTCACGTTGCTGGTGCAGCGAGGAGGTAAGTCTTCAAAACTGCTTTAAAACACCTCTTCTTGAAATTAAAAAAAGGAAAAAATGCATGTCACGGAAGATCTGCTCTCCTAAGATTCTCTGTGGAAATGGCTTTTTTCCTGAGGTGTAGGAACTGCCCCAAGTTGGCAGTTGTCAGGTCACATAGATGGTTAAAATTATTTGTTGTGTGCTGCTGCACTGCGGGGGATGCTCAGGTTCCCACGTGCACACAGAGCTGGTAATGGGCAGGAGGGTGGTGTGGTTACACGTGTGGCTACGCCTTTGCTTACATAACAAACCCTGGTCTCATGCTCTGCAAACTTGAGGGTTTTAAATAGAACATGGACATTCCTTGAGCTATTCTGAGATATGGAAAAGGCTGGTAATATGTTCTGTAATTTGCAGTGTTCAAAATCAGATACTTAATGACTTAATCGGGGAAGGATTATACCTGGGATACATTTGGGAGCACAGAAGAGAATTTAAATTTCTCCAAGTTGTAAGCAATTGCAGTGTGACTTCTGCACCTTTGTTTGCTGTGCCATTGGGAGCTGAGCTCACTTTTTGGTAGCATTGGCAAGACCACCAGGTACAGAACCCATCCCACAGGCAGCCCACATGGAGCATGGTTGGCAAGTGACCTGTGACTGGCCACTCCATGCACAGGAACTCTTTCCCTGCACACAGTAACCTGAGCTAGCACCCCTTTAGGCTGTGGATTGAGATTTGGGATAGGGTCAAGCTCACAGGCAAAGTCCAGGTTGGCTGTTGTGTGCAGTCAAGAGCAGAGGGCTCGGCTCTCCCTCCCTCCCTGGCACTGGCAGTGGGGCTCTCAGAGGGACAAAGGCCTGTCCCCGCTGTGCTCCGTGTCCCATGCAGGTTTTTATGGACAGCACACGCTTGGGTGCCCTGTGAATGACAGGAATGACCATGCTGCAGAGGCAGTAGGTGATGAACACAGCCCCCAGCCAGCCCTGCAGGGAGTGTGTGCTATAAAAATACTTTCCTTCTGACTGTTCTGAAGTGTTTTGATTGTAGTAAACACCAAAAGCCAGTCCATTTTAACAAGGGACAAGTTGTTTCCTGAATTTACAAGTCTGGCTTGTTGTTTTCCAAGACCTATTTCAAGGCATTGAATACATTGATTCTGCAATTAATAGCAGCTCTGGAGAAAGCACTGCCTTTCCTATATTCCTTTCTTTCCAAGTGCTTACTGTGTTTTTGTATTTTGATAGTAAATTAGAAAGTAGAGAACAGAATATATTAAGAATTCTCTAATTTTCCAAGTGTGAGTTCCTTAAAGACTTCTAGTACTAAAGAGATTTAAAAAATGCACTTCATTCTTATGATTAATATATGTATTATGGAGAAAATATGGTTGGAAGAAAAATAGCAGCTATTATTAATGCTCCTGGAGAGTGCATATATATCTGGTAACACCATATATTAATTATTTGAATTGTGCCTGACATTTAATAATCCTCCTAAAGCCTTGAAGGCATAATGAAAAGTTTTGATGAGGAAATAAAAGCCTAGTTTTAATAAAATAGTAAATAGCTCCCTTGTAATCTTGTTGAATCTTTTTAATTTTTTTTTTAATTTAATCAAGATACTAACCACATTTGCTATCACCTTCCTAGATAAGGTACCATGTCAGTCTCCTTGAACTGCCTGCCTCCTTCCTTCAAGGTCTTCTCATTTCCACAGAGCACTTGCAGTTTCAAATTTCACACTCTTATGGTACAGAACTTGGAGATCCTGGTGGCCCTGGTCCACAGTTAATCACTGAAACAAAGTCCTCCTCATGCCCAGGGGCAAGCTGGAGCAAAAGGCTCAAGAGCCTTGGCAGAGAAGCCAAGCAGAGTGTGCACAGGAGTAGCCTCAGAACCAAAACCAGTCAGGTTTGTTTAAGGCTTCTGAGGTGATGAAGGGGGATGAGAGGCTGGACATGCCCCAGCCAAGTGCACTCACAGCCCAGAAATCCAGCCATGTCCTGGGCTGCACCCAAAGCTCCTTGGGGGTGAGGGGGGACTCTGCCCCTCTGCTCCACCCTTATGAGACCCCACCTGGAGCACTGCATCCTGCTCAGGGGCCCAGCACTGGAACAGTGCAGACCTGTGGGAGCCTGTCCAGAGCAGGCCACCAAGATGATCAGAGGGATGAGGATGTGAGTAGCTCTGCTATGAGTACAGGCTGAGAGCTGAGGGCGCTCAACATGAAAAGAGAAAGCTTTGGGGAAACCTTACAGCACCTTCCAGTACCTAAAGGAACCTACAAGATTGCTGGAGAATGGCTTTTCACAAGAGCATGTAGAGACAGGACAGGGGGAATGGCTTTAAACTGAATGTAGGTAGGTTTAGATTGGATCTTGGGAAGAAGCTGTTCCCTGTGAGGGTGGTGAAGCCCTGGCACAGGTTGCCCAGGGAAGCTATGGCTGCCCCATCCCTGGAAGTGTTCAAGGCCAGGCTGGATGGTGTTTGAAGCACCCTGGGATACTGGAAGGTGTCCTCTGCCCAGCAGGCTGGTTGGAACTAGATGATCTTTAAGGTCCTTTCCAACCTAAACTATTTAAAAAACACAAAAGGTGTAACTGGCTAAAATCCACCTGGCACTCAATGCTACTGCACTCGGGTCCTTTCCCCTGTAACTTTACCTCGTGTTACCCCTGCCAAGTCTCTCCTCAGCAGCACCATCCCCAGACAAGGCGCCGCTATTTATTTTGGTCCCATTGCAGAAATGTATTTGGCTCGGGTGTCTGATGAGCTCCTTCAGGGCTTTTGAAGCTGTTCTTCAGCTTCCCTGTCGCTTGTCCTTTCCTCCTCCTCCCTCTGGTGTCCAGAGAGGAAAGTGCTCAGATGCTGTCAGCATTCTTCCATTCAGCCCAGCACTTGTATTCAGCCCTGCTGTGCAGGAAGCATCCCTGCCACACTAAGGCTTGTATTCAAGAGCTGTCAAAAGGATTTTTAGAAGTGATTACTAATCAAGCAGAAAAATATCAGAAAGAGATGTGCAATACACAGGAAAAGCTCTGCCTGCTCCAAGCTGCTGGTGCACCCCCAACAAGGAGGTCTAATTGTTGAAATGCAAATGCAGAGCTGCTGAGAACAGCCTGTAAAATATTTACTGTGAAGTGGGTTCAGCTGAAGCACTGGCTTATGGGAGAGGGCGAATCCTACTGCTGCCTCTGAGTGAGGAACACAAGGATGATTTCAGGAGGGATGAAGCTGAAATGCCCCCTCTGTGTGCTTATGTGCAATCTAAAATCATTAGCAGGATTGGGGCAGAGGGAGAAATACTTCAAAGTCACATCACTGAGTGATGTGACTTCACTCTGACATCACTTCAAAGTCAGATCACTGAGAATTTGCTTTCCAGAGGCCTCATAGAAAATTTACCTTTTCTACTTTCTAGTTTAATTTTTTTAAAATTTTCTTCTCCCTCCTCCACTCTGTAGGATTAATCATATTGCTGTTGTTTTCCTGTTTCACGTATAGTTGGATAAAACTGGATAAAACTCATTGATCTTGAGGGGTTCAGAAAGAGTTCATCCCTCCCAGGGTGCAGAGGGTTGATTGGGCTGGTTGGCAAAGCTGCTTTTGCTTGGCAAAATGAAGGGACAGAGGGGACAAAATAATTATTGTCTTTATTAGGCAGGAAAGATAGAAGGTACTTAAATGAAGGAGTTGGCTGAATAACTGTGTGTTGTTTGGCTGTGAGTAATTTAAACTGGAAATGAGAAGATAGTGCCAAGCCATTAGAGCCTGTAAGTCAAACTGGAGGAGGCATGAAGGCTTTACTGCCTGAAGGTGAAGCTCAGCACGTTTGAAGGGGACAGGACATGGTGCCTACAACAGCAGAGGAGATGCTTGATAACCCAGCAGGACCGTTTGAGAGCTCTGCACCTGAAAGTAAACCAGTGCTGCTGCTACAAAATGCAGAATTAGGCATATGTTTTTGTCCCTGCACTGGAAATTATGATTACATACTTTGGTTATTTTAAAGAGTTATTGTTAATGCAGCCACAAAAGGTACAACTTCCTTTTGAATTTTTGTAGCTGAAAAGGTTATTTTAACCTACCAAGTACATAAAATACTTTCAACAAAAAAAAGCCAAAAAAACTTAAAAAGCAAAGAAACAAGGTAATATTATTTGCCACTTGAAATCCATTAGTCATTGAAGCCTTGCCTATGCACTGTAACCAACTGAAATAAGCAGTTCTCAAATACCTCTCCATTCTGCACACTCTATTCATAATAAAAGAAACATTTTGTCAGAATAATTTCCCTGCTTCCCAAGGGACTTTTATTCTGTGTCTGTTGGGACAGGTGGGGGGATGTGCCAGAACAAGGAATTCTGCAAAACTACTGTGCTGTATTTTTTGGAATCACTAACATCTAATATTTGTTTCAGTGAAAACTTCCATGTATTTTATATTTTGTGAATTGCCTCTGATTAAAGAGGATTATTTTTTTCCCCTTTTCCTCCATTTTTAGGTCACTCTTCAGGTTAACCAAAATATGTTTAGTTTGTGTTCAGTTCTAAGAACTACACTGAGCAGTGTTCATGCAGGTTTGAATGGACAGTTGACATTCAAAGCTTTCACAGTTAGTGCTTAGATGCATCTTCATTCACTGGAAGGTCAAAAATAGCATAAACCTTGAGCCTGATCTACGTAATCCCCTGGAAGATGTGTTCCCACTTTGCTCCAGATCAAAGTAAAGGCACGCAGGTGAAATGTCACTCACATGTCATGTGCAAATCAGTGCCATTTCTAATTGCTTTCCCTGGTGCCAAACTCACATTAAACTGGGGAATGGAAATGCATCTTCTGAAAAAAATACATATGCTAGATAGATATGTAGATATATACTGGAGTGTCAAAACTAAATGTGTTTTATGGGAAGAGGAATCAATGCAGCATCTACTTGTCTAAATGCCCATCAGTGGGTGCCTGAGTCTTACTTCTATGTAAAAGTCCATAGTAAACTCCCTATTTATGGGAATAT